AAAAAAGTGGTGTGGACGACATTCTCTCCGAAAAAGATTCCCCAGATGAGATTTTTTTGGTAAACCTCTCCCTTGCATAGAATGGACACACACTATCCAAATAATAAAATAAAGGCGATACGACGTGCCAGCTACATGAGACGACTCCGATGAAGGAACCAGCAACGGCGGATGCGAAAGAAGTATAATTGACAGGTGGTAGTTTTTGTAAAGGAGTAATTTGATGTAAATCGAGAAGAGATGTGACCGCCCATGTGGCCCCATTCAGCCAGGAGAAGAGGACAATATGTACCTGGACCATGCTACGAGGGACTTTTGTAATGTATGCAGCAGCCCCGTTTGTACTTCGGGTCGCAGGGTCATCTGCCAAATAATGGGGAAGACGATGAACGAACATAAGAAGCTCACACACACACATGAGGGGGACGTGATGGGACATTTATTATTAGAAGAACAGACCTCATTCCTTTAAAATTCTTCCCTTTGCCCAGAAACGCCTACTTATCTCCCTCCATGAAATATATTAAGAATTATTTACCATCCACCGGAATAACTTTGTGGATGGATGGATGGAAAATTATGAAACGAAAGTACAAAAAAATATTATAATAACAATGTCTAATAAATAATGAATGAATGAAATAATTTTGGCAAGCAGTGTTTTGTGCGACTCTGTGAGATACGAACATCAGAGTTGTTGTCGTGTTGAGCAATGACCGTCTGCTAGTAGCGCCGAAAGGTCAAGGAGAAAGAATGCCGAGTCCTGAGCAGAGTGACTGGACGTGTCATACCAAATAATAAGTGGCCATCACACCAACAATTGATCAAAGATATTATATTTTGAGCTGATGATATTTGCCAACAATGAGATGAAGCAGTGTCCACTCATTTCTCTGCTTTTATCAACTTCCCATCAGTAATGAAAAAAGTGTTCAATCAAAGTGAAATGTAACCCCTGCTGGTCGGGGCTCAATCAAGCTATTCATCATTCCAACAATGATCAGTGCATGCATTTTGCCAGGTCCCAGACACTCGTCTCTTTTGAGAGGGTGAGACCAGTGGTCAGTGGATATGGACTCCCCTCACTTCGACATTCTGCTCAGGTGCACACTATCCAGTTGTCCATCAGCTAATCAAACTCGGGAGATTCTCATTTGCAATTTGTCCACTCTCCAATTACCCCGTCCCCACACCAATTGATTCTCGAATGATTGTGACACATCTTCTTCATTCCTCGTCTGACCGTTCACCTCCGTTTGTTTCTTCTCTTCTTTTATGAATTAGAGAGACGGAAGAAATTCCCATTGTTTCCTCTTCACCACGAAACAACTGCGTATTTGAGGATGCAACCACCTACAACCAACGACTACTACCACCCAATCGGCCAGCTTGACATAATTCATAAGTATGTATTTCTGGTGTGGACTGCGTATCCTGAATTTGTTTGATGAATTATACACAGATTCCAGCATCTCGTTCTGCAATCATAATGGTTGTTGTGTGGTTGGTGGGAGAGCAGACTGGGCATAAATGAATATGTGAGTGGGATTGACAATAGATCGGATGATGGACAGAGGAGCCGTGATCTCTCATTTTTAATACGGCTTGGCTTGGCCTTTTTCCCGTAAATAATCCGACTTTGCCATAACACCACCAACCAACCACCTCTTCTCCCGATCCTCTGCTGCATGGTTCTCAACAAGACTGTGAAATACATGCTCGAGTTAGTCATATGAATGCTAAATACTTGTTTATCAATCCTCTGTGTTGCATGAGTCTCTGGATCGCATGAACGTGTTATGGTCTGGATTTACAGGAAATTTTCGTTGTTTTTGAAACATTTTTATACGCGCATGTGAGTAAAAATACAAGACAAACGGCCAGTTGAGAAAGCAGATGCTTCTTCATATTATTATGCATGCACTCTTCTTGGTCGTTTGACCAAAGAGTTAAGGGCAAGGTCGGCCTATCCATCCATCACCACCTGTACGAGTGAAGGGTTCGGTTGCATACTTATGTCCGTAGTTGGTTCATCACCAGTTATATGTCATATTTTCTCCTCTTTTTCACTTTTTCCATTAAATTGATGGATGTGGTGTGGAAAACAAGGTGACAACCGAAAAAAGGGTTGGATACTCGTATCAAGGGAATTAGTGCCTGTTCCACTCGAAGCAAATTGTCATTTGAGGGAAATCCATTTTCATACGCATAATGCACCCTTTATGCTGACATTCAAATGCAATCATTCCCATGTTGTTTGGCATAAACACCTTGTTACTCAAAAGGCTAATAACCAGTGGTCCAAGCTTGTCCCAAAAACAGTATCGCCATCCTCAAACAACGCTCGTTTACCAAATACCAAATGTATAATTAGAGGTGACACATGTAAACTCATTCATGCCGGATGATCGTTAACATTATTATGTTTATGCAAAAAAAGTTGAGACGGCGATTGCAAGTCCAGTGCTTCATTCATTAACTCATTGATACTTTTAAAGTCCAAAATTAAAAATATTCTCAGCTTTCTGATAACCTTGTCCAATGCAGATATATATTTTATACATCTTTTTGCTGTTTTTTTAAGTTATGCACTACCGAACTGAAATCAGGCTGCATTCGTCGCGCATATGCGAAAAACAGGCAAGGTGAGATTGCGATTATTATTATTGTGCTGGTAGATGCAGTGCATGGAAACGGGAGAATAGTCATTAAAATTTTGCGACCAAAATTTGTAATAAATTTTTGCAACATTTTTACACACCTTTGGTCCAACCAAACGTGATATAGTGTGTCGTTGTAGAATGTCGTAATTTACAATCATAAAGTTGTCGGCCTTGTTTAATCTTGTGCCTCGTTAGTATTTATATTTATGTTGTCTCAAACTGGGACACCGGCCGGAGATTGGTTCAGTGTGACTAAATTTTCAGTTTCGGCATTTTTATTGAGGAAACTATTTCTATTTTTATGTTTATGGACCTTCCCTCTCACTCCAAGTACAATAGGCTGAAACACACCTCATGACCACAATTTCTACAAATCAGGTCAACCCTTGTGCCGCATACCAACCAGAGCACCAGCCAGCCAGCGGAGCACAGTAGTGCGGGTTCGTTACTTTGGCGTAATAATACGTACATGTCAACCTTTCTGTCTTTCTACCAAAAATCATTCATTATTTCTCTTCTTCCTTTTCTCCTTCTTCTTCTACTTCTTCTTACAAGGGGACCAACTAATTGACTACTACACGATATATATATCTCGTACGTACGTACGGGAGGAGGAGGTGCGATTAGGTGACCAAAGAGTGTAACCAACTGGGCACTCCACCCGACACTTTGCAGGAAGGAAGTGGCGATGACTCCAGGAGAAAAAATTAATAACGCCGAGTCAAAGACGACGATGACTCTGTGATTACTATCAACCAACAACAACATCAAAGAACGGCCCAAAAGGGGTCGTTCAGTAATTGTGCAGAAAAGTAGTAAGAAAAATGCACAAGTAGCATTATGCTTGATCGTTCTACATATTGCATTTTGCCCCATTTGACAACGTGTTATACAAATTCAACCAATTCAAACAACCGTGTACAGGAAAGGCGCATTGTCAAGAGTGAAAAATGGCGTGGATTATCATTACGATGCATGCGACATGTACACACACACACACGAGGAGGAAATCAGGACGGAATGTGTGTACTGTGTTGGGAAGACATGTTCTGGTGACTTTTGAGAGAGAGAGCAAGAAAAGAATAAGTAAAAGAGAGGACGACGAGGCTTGATGATGATGATGACAATAGATCAAATGATTCAGTCGTTTCTTTGGTTGCTTGTGGAGTGAATGGACATATTGGGCCAAGACATCCTTCCTGTAGCGACTCACTCATGCTCGCCCATAACTCACACACAAAGAGCAAGGAGTCGAATGCATGCATAATGTCCTATTACCAGCACAATAAAGTGGAGTAACAATAAAAGAGAATAATAAGCAAAAAGAGGAACAACGGTAATTCGGAATTCAATTGACTTCACTCCACTGGGTTGACCTCGCTGCAGCATTTCTAAAAGGGAATGACCCGCTGGCTTGAGATCACATCTCCGCCACCATCGCCACACCGTTCGTCTAGAAGATCCCGTGTTCTGCCACTCGAGAGAAGCAGACGAATGCCTGACTTAGAAATTTTAAAAATTTAAATTGCGAACTCGGATGGTCATTGTTCACCTCATGTATATTTGTGTGCAGGTAAATATTCAAATGCGTCCACATTTATTCAGGAGCAGGAGTGGAAAGAAGTCAATTAATTTTATTCTGGGCGCTGGACACTTTTTGCTCGCATTTTTATTCTAATTTCTACCATCACCTCCTCCTCCTCCTCCACTGAAGATGAAACTGAGAAACATTCTACGAAATCAACGAGCAGTCGTAGTGCTACTTTCCTGCAGAATGAGTGTGTGTCCATGTTTACAGCTATGGAGAGCTGGTAGATATTTAGGTGCATTTACTTTTTTAGGAGTCACAGAGCTAAAGAGGTGCATGTAATAGCTGTATGCATACGAAAATAACAGTGAGTAGTAGTAATAGTAGTAGTAAGTACATGGTAGTAATGGTTCCTTTTCCACCACCACAATCAAAGTGGAGTGAGAAGATGACTGATAGTAAGCAAATAAATCAATCAATCAGTAAATGGAGTTGTTGGTTAGGAATTGTGCTGATTCACCGTGATGCAAAAGATGATCATGATCTGTTATTCCAAACGATAAAAGTAATCTGCAGATGTCAATCTCTCGTTATTCAGTCCGCAACGTTTCAATCCAGATTCAGTCCACCACGATTCCTCCTCCTCATCTTGACGGCCACAAATATTATAATTGACTCAATAAGAAGAAGGAGAAAAATAATAATCAAAATAACATACAGACAAAATGTCTGAGAAAGGATTGATCAAAGATAGATTTTAAACTAAGGGGCAATTAGTAACGGGTTAGTATCAAAACAAAGTTGCTTACTCCCTCTGATTCTACATATCACGTCATCCCAGAATGGCGGAAAACGCTGTAGGGTCTTACCTGCAAGAGAAAAAGATAAAACATGGTAATAACAAATTAACAAATGCACATGTACATACAAATGCTTGACATCATCATTTTCACTTTAGCACAAGCAATCACGATACAAAGGCATGCAGTGATACGCATATGCACATAAGATAAGTCATGAGCAGTGATCAGGATCCCACAAGAGTTTGACGCCACTGTATGGATGACCCTTGCCCAGCGGTGTTCATGATCCTGCTACTACCACGGAGGAAAATAAAAGCTCCGTGTGTGCAAACGTTAGTCAAGGATGAGTTGGAGATGTTAAGCGAGAGCCGGGCTAAATCGGGAGTTGGAGCTGGGGAGGGATGGATGTGTCGTGATGAAAAAATGACCATCGACAGTGTCCCAAAATAAGTTTGACTTGGCTCATCGTCCAAAAGTCTACATACAACCCACACAAGATCAAAAAGTCCGAATTCGGGTCCACGTGGCTCCCGGGTAATTAGGGGACAGAAGTAGAGGAGACCTATCCATGTGCTCCCCCCACCAACGAGGCAGCGAGCCAACACTTCTTATTCACAAGTCCTAATTGTTCTCTCTCTCTCTTATGCTCTCTTAATTTTTACACTCTCGCTCATCTCTCCAACTCCCAAACACGCAATTCTTGAGCAACTTTTCCTCCTCTATCCAACTTCTCCACTCACGGTGACTAACCAAACAACCAGCACAACATCCATCCATCTATCTCTCCTTCCTTCCTTCCTACGACTCATGTAAATCTTCGTCGTATTCATGCCTCGGTTGGATCTATTCGGAGCAGAAGAAGAAGACTTCTTGTCCATTTCATCTGGAATTTTGAATCTGGTTCTTCATCTGCATCGTTCATACCTTAGCTTATTTCATGTAGTCAGCCTCATCAAGAACAACGGTGCGTGGTTCATTGGATCCTGTTGGCATTTTATGTAACCAACTCTCATTATTATTTCCTTTCTTTCTTTGAAGGAAGATGATGATCCATTTAGTCGAATAAATAAATATCACAATTCCGCATTACGAAGAGATTAACATTATCTAACAGCGGTTCTAATGATTCCACTGCTGATTGGGTCGTGCATACATGCCTCTTGATGACTTGGCCGAAACGCGGACTGCGAAGGGAATTCCCCGAACGACACATGGATGCTGTGCGGAGGATGAATTCTAAAGAGTGTGACAGACGCACGACTTTAATTATTCGTGTCGTGACTTGCCCTTTAGGGAATAGGCGTTGTCCCTTGTCCATCTGAACACGGCAGTGAGCAAATGTCCATTTCACGCAATAATCCGCCGGTTTTTAATGTCTTAATCAACCCTTTGATTATTCGCTGTATGGACTTTTGGCCCGGTTTTAAGAGGACGAGGAGGAAGTGACAGTAAGCCGCAAACTTATTTGCCTTAGCTGACAATGAACTGTACGTATTTAATACTGATTAAGTCAATGTGTAATAGTCTAATAAATTATAAATGACTTCATACATACGTACGTACATAGCTTTGGTAAGCGTTCAGTGCAATAAGGATCTGTATGCACGTATTGCATTTGACATGATTGGAAGAGGCTTTTGTGCCCATTTTGTGAAGGCGTATTGTGGACATTGTTTCCAATTTAGTGTCCTTTTCAGACCTGCGGGTTGGACCTTATTTATGTACTTATTATAACCAAAGGGACGGACTGACCACTCAGTTTGACTGACTGAAAGAGAGGACGGCCAGAAAAAGAGACGACGATCTTGACTCCAACAATGAGACAAAATTGATTGTTGGCTTAAATTGAGGTGGACAATGCTGTCCAACTGTGAGTGAAAAAGTGGAAGAAGCCGCCCAACAATGCGACCATTCACAATCTTGTTATGTCAAATTATCATTATCAACTCCTCGTTTGCATCCCTGTCTGCAGTGTAATGACAATGGGATGGCAACAATTGACGAAAATCATCATCATCATCAGACTACGGGCACTCGACTCAGTTTCGCTTCAAGTTTTTGCTTATGCAACGAAAATGGTCAATCGCAATGATGATGATGACGATGATGAGGAAAGGAAGAACGTTCGTTGGCCATTAGGATGACAAAGAGGTGGCCAAAGCTCAGCGGAGAGGTTGGTTGGACCTGATCCGAGAGAGTGAGAGAAGTATAAATAGAGATGACCGGAGTGAGGTTGACTAATATGCAGATCCCAGCCGTTTTTTGTCCGAGAAAGGGTGACTCTCTCTCTCTCTTGCTCTCCTGTATGTACGTATTTTTTGCTTATGACCAACCGACTCATCTAATTTTAGCTCCAGCTTCCGTCGTCCAAGCCAAAGCACCCGGGTTGTTCTACCCCAAATGGAAATCCAGTCCACTTTTTACAACCGGCATATTTCTCACTCGTCGTCGTCGTCTTCTTCTTCATCGTCTACTTCTTCGTCTGCTGTTACCTTATGCACTTTCGATGCAGTTGCACACACAAGGCGGGCGTTGTCGCTTGTTGGCTCACGATGACGAAGACAACGGGCCTCACATTCTCTTTCGAATGTCCTCAATGCAGGTATAAAAATATCCTGGAGAAAGGAAGTCCATGCGCAATCCGTGTTTTTATATGCAGCCCCCAACGAAAAAAATCTTGCGTCCTCAAAAAATTGATAAAATCTTAAACAGTATCAAATTCAGAAAATGAACCACATGAAAAACCTGAGACGACTCTTTTTACACAAACACGAAGCACGTAGAGGGAGAGAGAGAGAGAGGTTGGTTCGTTGTTTTTTCGTTTGGTTGGACGGACTGCTACCTAAATTTGGCGTCATCCATTCTTCAAAGGCTCTTTTTGGTCGTATAAATAATTTTAGAGAAAAAAGGATAGAGTTTAAGTTATAAAAGATGGACGGACGGATGGATGGATGGATGGTTGGTTGGAGAGTGAGTAGTTTTTAGATGAAAGTAATGACCATTGTGAGAGATTAAGTTTCATGATGATCATGAAAGGGATTGTTGAGGAAGGTCGAACAAAAAATTTAGAATCTTTAAAAAATGACCATGTCCGACTAATCCTAGGATTCCCAATTGATCCAAATCTTTCCTCCCTTCACAAGTATCCATCACGTGGAACATACATCCTCCAGGTAATATCTACATGAGGAATTAAAAGACCTAAATATAACCCAGGCAGGGTACAGTGGCCGATCTGTGACTGTGCTACATATGGTACATACATACACCGAATACTCTTCTGGACGGCAGGGCATCAGGAGGAGAGAAAGGCAGTACCACAATGATGATGACGCTGTATGGACGGAGACTTGGATGAATTGAAGCCCTTATCTCGTCACAAAAAACTTGGCAACCTTTTTTAAGCTTTACCTGGCTGGATGGCTGGCCGTGTGGGATTAATGATATGGAATGGTCATGCACGAAATCCTCTTTTATTGCCTGAGCCCTTGTCCAGCAGCAAAGGGACCACATTCCCTTTCGTTCGCCCCACAGGCATTTTTTACTCAAGGCAGACCACTTTTACTGCCTGCATCCATCCAACAACACTCAATCTCACTCTCTCTCTATGCCACGTACTTTTATGTACTCGGATCTACCCCACTGTCCACGACACAAAAAAGTTTGACCCCGTCTTAAAAACATGTGCAATGCATCAGTTGAGTTGAAAATAGAATTCCTTCCAAACCTCCGCTTTTTTACTACCAGAAACATCGCCCTCGATTTACAAGAAATCGAACCCAATTTCCAAGGAACAGAGGGTGTTGTAAATGGAACTTGATAATTGAACCTCTTAATTGAACCGTAGTTATCTTGAGGAAAATGCCCCGCTTATTTCTTTCCCATTTCATAGATATGCATATATGTACGTACATATGGTATCCCACACTCTCTCACATACGTACATAATACTACATGTATGTATGTACATAAACATGCACCAATGCATCTGTTCAGCACGAACTCATGCACTTTGCGAATTCCATGCAAATTGCAAACGCTGTTATTTCCTCCGTAATGACAAATACGCAAATAATTGCATCACGACTTTAACGAGAAAATTGCCACTAATTAAGAAACGGTATTATATATGTCCATATATACTCAGGCATCGTCGACAGCTAGAAATATAGGATTTGAATCCTATATTTATAGGATTTTTAAATTACTGTCAAAGCCTACACGTCTGTCATCCCAAAAAATTACAACTTTTTGTGGAGATGAAAAAACTTTCAAAATGCCGACACACATGAATATAAACGAAATGCAAAGGAGACCCTCAAGTCCAAGGGCAAGGGCAACCATGACCACCACCACCAGTGCCAGTTTCACTTTCTATATAAAAACCACCACACTCGGCATCCGTTCCTTATCACCCCCTTCTGACTGGGTTCCCTTGATCTTGAATGTCCAGCCCAAGTGCTCGCATGTACACACATACGTACATCTTGTGCATTCATGTTTCTGTTTTTTAATTAAAACCGAAAAAAATCACCACTCTAACCAACTCTATCTTGGTCTCTGTTTCATTCCTTGTTCTCTTATGCACATACTTTATTCATGTTCGGAGTGAGCTGATCAATTACCGATAAACATAATTAAAAGGTTGATGCATGTATGGGACGCGGGCAAGGAGGCAGATGATGGCGAAGAAGCAGCTACTTGCACCAGGGTGGTGGGTGCATGTTCGGTTTTTTCGGAGTGAGCTTGGTTTTTCTTCTTTGGAGTGGAGCCAGATGGTTTGGACAAAACCAAAATTTGGAAAACACGAAACGTAACGTAACGCAATGAAACAACAAGAAGGGATTTCGACCAGGTTTTCGTTTGTAATGCAGCAGCCCACATACGTAATGCGATATATGGAAGGAGGTAACAGTTGGTGGATACTCACTCGATCGGCTCAACCCTTTGACCATTCAACAACGGCTTTATAAATATTCCTATATTCCTCCTTCCTTGGCAACAAGGATCCAGAGCGCCTCAAGGGTCTCCTGCCCTTCACCTGCGCTCATCCTTCTCTCAACACG